AGCCTGATAGAATGCAAACTTTAGTTGTAAAGTGAACTTAGACTATTCATTAGTTGGAATAGTCCATTTGTTGTACCGTGAGATTACCATAGTTGTGTTCAGGGCCGGTTCTAGACAATTTGCTGCCCTAGGCGAGATTTTAGCTGGCATAGGCGCGTCCCTGGTTGTGTTATGGATTATTTGAATTGAGTTAGCATTGTACCCTGCAACAATAAATAACCCTGAACTTGCTTCAACTTCAGTCTGCATAAAAAATGACAACATCACATCTGCAGATTCAGATTTAGATGGCAGATCCAATCAGCTGAAGTGTTTCTCTATCCAAACAGACATAAATAAACTATGAAACAGTAAACATGTGGGGCGGCCCACGCAGTTAAATGAACCCACCGAGTCCGCAGCGGCCCAGCGGGATCGCCTTCAGCTGGATCGGGGAGGGTTTCTGGAAGCCTGCGGAGGACAGTCCCTCCAACACGGGCTGAGAGAGCAGCAGGGAGCTGAAGTCTATTCCCTCCGATAAAAGCACATCATCGGTTCGCTTTCGCGTTTCTATGTCGTGGGCTGCTCTCCTCACGGAGGCCGCCATGTTGACTGTAGTTGTTTAGCGCCAGTGATCAAAATCAGCAGCTTTAATGCGCTCGAGCTCGGCTTCAGTCTTCATCGCCCTCTGGTGAATGGGAGGAGAATTAACATCCACATTTCTGACCTATGAATAAAACCCAAAACCACATACTGTAGAGAGAATAAAAGACTTCCTTTGGCTGAACCAAAAAAAGGATAAACCTGGTTTTAAAAATGTATCTTGTCTAACTGTTAAATACAGGATGAAGGACAGGCTGTGGTCCATCTGTTCAAATTAAATCAATAAAGAAATAGCCCATTACCAGATTATATTAGATTTTTTTTTTTAGATTAGATTCAACTACTAGGACGACGACAACTATAAATCCTAACCAAGCATAGTAGTAATCGGTCGGAGGGGAATAATTCCGGTGGCCTACACATGTTGAAAATACTTTTGCTACATTTTTCTTGAAACTTTAATGCCAAGAAAGCCCCTTTAGATGTAATTGAGTTGCGTTGAATAGAGAAGCTGAGCCTGAATTGATGGTTATATATATACCCTGCTATAGTGTCCTTGAGCCACACAATCCATTTTAAACACTCCTGGTGTAACACTCTTTTCTAAAGCTGACTCTGACATCTGACCTCTTTAGAAAGGGGCTTAATTCATTGGTAGATTAAAAACAAATAGTTTAAATATTTAGTTATTTTGTCTGAGAAATGTTAGCCACCCCAAAAGAAGCGCATGTGCAAATCCTGCTGTCACTAAAATGTGCGACATTAACAAGTTATAATGCTCTTTCTATGCATTTCACAAGCAGGCATGCATTTAACTCTGATCCTAAAACAGACATTGTGCCACTGAATCCCTGTTTCATTACTCAGGAGCATCTGTAAACCCAGCAATCATGGAAAGTGCAGTCTTACAGGATATCAGATTGAATTCATGTCATCTCAATCTGGATCTGCGGATTTGTTTTTCAAGAATTAGATTTCATGGTGTAAAGCCTACCACCTCTCATTGGGCTTATTAAAAGGGTCACATCTTCCTCTTCTCTTGAGCTGCACCAGAGCAGCCACCCTGCTGCAGCTGAAGAAACATATCAATTGTTAATACTGTTGGAATTATGTTGGATTGTTATATATTTTTGGTTTAAGCTTTGTGAGACTGCTATTTTTTAACCTGTGGATATTCTGGACTTCATTTGGATTTGTTTTTATCTCAAGAAGGACTAGTGGTCCTCTTCATTTTCACTGATCAAGATGGTGCACTTTTCCTTACATGATGGAAACTCCTCATCCTCTCACAGTTCAGTCAACGAGGAGCTCCTGTCTCGGACTGGCTACACAATACTGGCCGTTATCATGGGTGTGTTTTCCGTGTGTGGGATCTTCCTCAACGTCCTGGTGATTGTGGTGACTGTGAGACACAGACAGCTGAGGCAGCCACTCAGCTATGCCTTAGTAAATCTGGCCATATGTGACCTGGGCTGTGCTGTATTTGGAGGTCTGCCCACCACAGTAACCAGTGCCATGGGATACTTCAGCCTGGGACGCGCAGGCTGTGTTTTAGAGGGATTTGCTGTCTCCTTTTTTGGTGAGTCAATCTAAAGCCAAGCAGTATGCCTACTTTTGTATACGGACACAAAGCATAACCTACAATTTACAAAAAGCCTCAGTAAAAGAACAGAAGATGTATCAACAGATTGTACTCAATTGTTAATATAAGAAGTTACTTGCTCTGCAGGGGCAACAAATATTTTACATATTACATTATTAGATTGTCATAGCTGACACATATCATCATTCGTAGCCTGATGAGGTTGAGCTTATTTTAACAACTTCATAAGCACCTCGGTAGTTCAGTCCAATTGTTCCTAACATTAAGATGTTAAGCCCCCTCCAAAAGAGCCCTAGACAAATCTGGATGCTTTGGGAGATGATAAAGGATTCAAACAGAGAAAAAAGAGTTATGTTTTAAAAGAATTGAACACTTTCTTGTAAAAAAGGTTTTACTTTTCTCAAAGTTCAACTTTCTGTGTGAAATATTTGATCATTTTCTCTCAAAGTTACTAAGAGACAGCAGTAATGTGACATGAGAGCCACCAAACAATGATTTTTTTGAAGGTGTGGAAACACTGCCTTATTTTTTATTTCATCGTCATATATTGTATAATTATAATATGTGTTTTATTTAAAAATGTATAAGAAAATTAATGAGTAAATATAGCAGTCATGCTAATTTAATAAACTTTTCATATTACTATATAACCATTTGAGTGTATTAAGTGGCATCAAATGGAAATACTCCAAAGTTTAGTACTAAAATAAATGTTCTTACTTCTAAATTTGCATATTCATTAATTGGTGTAAAGCTGAGCAGGAATCTATTCTATGAAAAAAAGTAATTTTGTTTTCACACATTTCTTTTTTTAGGTATATCAAGTCTGTGTACCATTGCGATAATCTCTGTAGAACGCTACATAGTGGTGTGCTATCCCCAGGGGGCCGTCCTGTTCCAGACAAGGTACAGAAGTCACATTCAATATTTCTCTTGGCAGCATCACCAAGACTACAACACTTTGAACACTCCTCCGGCATGTGACACCACATCTCTGTTTTCCTCAGACATGCTGTTTCCGGAGTGGTGCTGTCCTGGCTGTGGTCGTTTTTGTGGAACACTCCACCTCTATTTGGTTGGGGTAGTTTTGAGCTGGAGGGCGTCAAAACCTCCTGTGCGCCTAACTGGTACAGCCGGGATGTCGGGAACATGTCCTACATCATCTTATACTTTATGCTGTGCTTTACTGTGCCCTTCACGGTCATCGTAGTATCTTACTCAAAACTTTTATGGACCCTCCGGCAGGTGAGCTATCTAAATGTTGGGAATATGAGTACACTAAATGACTACTGGTTGCCTGTACCCACATTACAATACGTTTTTTTGCTTGTATTTGGGTGTCCTAGGTGACCAAGCTGCAGATATGTGAGGCTGGCAGCACAAATCGTGTGGAGATGCAGGTGGCACGTATGATAGTGGTGATGGTGTTGGCCTTCCTAGTGACCTGGCTGCCATATGCTGGCATGGCCCTCGCTGTCATCATGGACTCCAGTTTATATATTAACCCCATCATCGCTACCATACCAGTTTACTTGGCTAAGAGCAGCACTGTCTACAACCCTATGATATACATTTTCATGAACAGACAGGTAAACCCTCCATCATGCACATTCAGATTTGCACACACACACAAAGGAAAGGGATATATGCAGACTATTATTGACCCTTTGCTATTTGTGTGTTTCCAGTTTCGGGGATACGCTGTTCCCACTATCCTGTGTGGAAGGAACCCGTGGGCAACCGAATCACAAGTTACTGAGGATGAGACCATGGTTTCTACTCTCAACAAGCTCCCAAGAGTCTCACCCAAACAATCTTTGAAAGAATAAAAGTGGTCATGAATCCCAATGGTCGTTGCAATTTAAAAAGGAAGAAGCAAACCATTATCATTAAGACACATGAAAATGTATTCTTACAATAAATACAACCCCTTTGTCTTAATCTCTGTCATGGCCAATCATGTTCAGGTTTCATTCTTTTTTTAACTTTGTGTGAAATTCACAGTGTGTAAAAATGTTGAGGTTCTCAAAGATTAAAGATTCATATAGGAGCCATTAAACGTACAAAGTGATACATTTTATTTTATTACGAATTAGGTTTGCACTAGTTTATATTTCCTTTGTATGAGTAATGGTTTTTATTATAAAATGTGGGATCGCAATTGGTTAGTGTGTATGGGTCACATGGATATGGGCTGCACTCATAGGAATTATAATCACCTGTTCACCTGCATGAGGTGTGTGTGGGAAAAGAGGGTGGCTGTATTTTCTTGTTGACCGCAATTGCTTTGATAATTAATACTTTTTTTTGTTCACATTGTGCGGAGTTGATCATCTCATTTTTCACTAAATTACATTTTCACAGCATTTTTTATTTCAGCAATTAATTTGAAAGCGCGTCAGATATATGCAACCAGGCCCGACCTCAGCGACTTTGTTTCCTGAAGTCGCTACATCTACAATCTTGTATGTGTGTACAGCTGAAACAACATACATGGTTTGCTAAAATGAATAAGCACAATTTCCTTCTTATAGATGTTGTTTAAAACCTATAGTGCCAGCAAAGACTTAAAGGCCGTTCCTTTGGGATTTAAGTGAGTGACTGAATTACATTTTACACATCTTAGTATCAGTAAGCATTTGCTTAATTGGTACTGCAAGACTGAGAAGCCGGATTAATAATCCTTTAAATACGGATTTGCAGCAAACTGCCAAAGCCCTGTAAATGTGAACAATGTGCATGTAATTGTAGGTTATGATGTAATCCAACAAAAAAGATGGCAATATATTTTTAAAGGATTTATGACAAGGAAAGAAAAGGTAATTACATTATTTTATTTATTAGGTGTACACGTCATCCAGCTTCGGTCTGTGCTCAAACATGGTTCACACCCCTCACACACAGACCATTGTCACCTTTATGGCTTTCATTGATAAAAATAAAAACAAACAGTGTGTTATACTCCTTTGCAACATGATACTTCAGTCCAGCCTTTTGGATCCAGCATGTTAAACCGCAAGAAAAAAAACCCTCAAGTCAAGTCTCACAGTTTGATCATTCACAGTCATTTCTCCTTCGCTAAAGTAACACAAATGCAATCACACTCTCCCTATTACCTTGGCTTTTTATTGATTACAGAAATATTGCTATGACTTTCATAAAGGAAAAGCAAAAAAAAGCCAGAGTGTGAACAGCTGTTTCAAACCTGTACACTTCTATATATACAGAGCAAGGGATCAACTATGTACATGCTACATACTGTCACACTCTGGGTTAATAGGTAGTCCTTCTTACAGGCAAAGACATGGGATCAATTCACCCTTTTTGAATCCATTTTCAAAAAAGATGCAGAAATGACCCGAGGTCAGTGCCTGAAGAACAGGCAACTCCAATCTACACTCACAAGCCATCTCGTAGGATACAGTACACGTTGACATTTCAACTGATTGGTGTGTGAAACAGTTGTGTGCTTGAACACCTGGTGCTTGGAGGATTGACTTGGTCCTGTAGTTTGTGGCAGCCTGTAAAGTTATCAGCGGGAAACAACAGTGTGTCTGAGTGCTTCAAGTCCTATTAAACGCTCAAAGATTGAGATCGAGGAACATTTGTCCTACAAACTATCTGGTCCCAATGCCGGCAGCACATGCCATTGTTGCTGATTACTGTGTTGTCATTGTCTTTGTTTTATTAAAGAGAACAGTCTTCAGACTCAATGAGGAGCCATTACAGTTGAATGTGTTTTTTGATGTAAAAACAATAATCATGTAATGCCATGTCCCATGCACTAAACCGACTGAAGGTATTTTCCAGCAGAAGCTATTTCACATACCAACTCAGTGTTTAATACACAAACATGCTCGAAGAAGATGACAAGTATACTACAGACGTGGGTAAGGTAGTCACTGGACAGCAATCATTTGGTGAAATTAACTAAGTATGACACAGACAAATGAAAGGATGAAAATACTCCTTCACATAGTCTGAACCAGCTTTGCAAAAGGGTTTTAGGCCATGTTTGACATTCTCTGCCACACATGGGGAGACATACAAGACCAGCTGTACCTCACAGCATCCACAAAACAACACTAGCGTTAAGTCCTGAGCTCAAGGAATGTGCAACACGTCCCCAGCCAGTCGACACACTGTTCCGGTGGGAACACAGTAAAGACTGAGAACAGCATCCTGGAAGTATCATTGCTTCTGACGAGTAAAAAGTATGATATATACAGATTGAAAAATAAAAAGAGTAAAAATAAATGCGAGTAGAGATTAGAGGGAGATGTTTGGGATGATCTAAAGAGGTAAAAGCAGGTGCAAAGAGAACGTTTTAACATCAACACCTGTACATCACACAGCACATCAAGACAACTTCTGAGTCAAGGCAAAAGAGGAAAGGGTGTGTCTAAGAATAAGCAGTTGAGGATTTGTAAACCTCTCTATCCGTACAGGTTTTCCTTCTCGTCTACTAAAAACAGGAGTGTCTTGCAGCGTAGTGTTCTTTACAGCATGTGAGCATGACGCAAATGCAATAATTGTCGACGACTGGTTTGTGAGTGTCTTTAGTGTTTTATTTTAGTGTAGTATCGTTGTTTTTTTGGTTTGTTATTTGATTCTTCTTCATTCTAAATCTAGCATGTACTTTACATCCTACTCTGCTTGAGTGATGAGGTAACGTAATGACAGCCACCATGACTTCTACTGGACAATAAGGTGCTAAAGTTTATCTGTAAACTCCACTTTTCTACAGACTCTTAACTTTCAAGTGAGTCATAAGTGTGTGTGTGTGTGTGTGTGTGTGTGTGTGTGTGTGTGTGTGTGTGTGTGTGTGTGTGTGTGTGTGTGTGTGTGTGTGTCTGTGTGTCTGTGTGTGTTTATGTGTGTGTATTTAAGAGAGCTAGAGAAAGAGAGAGAATGAGAGAAAGAAAGAGATTGTGTGTTTGTGTTTCTATGTGTTGTTTTAAAGATTGCGTAATAAAGGGCCAAGAGGTCAGGCGAGGGTTTAGGGTTCAGGTGCAATATTCTGAGTTTGGATTCAGGCTGAGGCGTGTTATGAAAAAAGCAGAGTTCTACAGCTCAGTCTATTTATGTACAACAACAGTCCGAACAAAAAAGAAAAGGAGCACAAGAAAGTTCCCTCTCTTTCTTCGCCTTAGACTGACGTCCACTTCTCACTCCTTCTTCCTCACGGCTCACTGATGCAGCAAGTTCTGTTCAGAAACCGAGCCAGCCCACTCCTTAAACGCTGCCCTCTTCTGGACAGCAGCGGTAGTAGCAGCAAGGAGAATCTTGTACTCTCCCACTTTTCTTACGGCATTTCCCCGCTTCTCTCATCCTTAATTTAACTGAGTCTTTATTTATTTTTATTGTCAAGTACAAATTCTTCAGCCTAAATTCTGGGTGGTTTTGTTTCAAGTATGTGTGTGTGTATTTTTTTCAGTGTGTGTGTGTTTCTGTGGCAGGGTGTGTGTCGCTCCTTCAGTGTGTGTGTGGCAGGGTCAGTGAACGTATGTCTGACAGGACAGCTCCACGTGTCTCTGTCCTCCTCACCTCAGCGCCCCCGCCAGCACTAAAACAACACACTCTGCCTCCTGCTCTTCCCCTGGGCTGAGAGAGAGAGAGAGACAGAGAGAAAGAGAGAAAGAACGGGGAGAGAGAGATATATTAAAATAGGTTCGGATTTCATTTAGACAAAAACAAACACACCACCACACATTTCACTCCATGCCTGCAAAAACACATAATCAAAGATTGTTCTACATCTAGGTGGAGTCTAATTTATTTTAAGGTTTGATAAATAAAGGTAACCACGGCTCTGTGCGTCCAAAACATTGTCCTGATTATGGATGTGTGCACAAACTGGGACCTTTCACATATAGCATGGCCATATAGTGTAGTGGTGGTGTTATCAGTGCCAATACTTTGGCAACCAATTGGACCATATAGTTCTATAATCTGTAATTGTGTGTGTAATCTTTTGCATCTAAAGCTAAAACATACCTACCAGTCAGTCTAACACACTGCAGTTAGAAGAACAGACCATATCCATGCTGATAGAAAATGCATTTTTAGAACCAAACCAAGCAAAAGCACACTTCACCAAACCCTCACTTACAGACTCAACAAAAAGGCTACATCTGTCTCTGTAGAAACCTAAACAGGACTGCAAAGGAAAACAATCAAAGGACTGTTCTCTGATCACATGATTTTTCTTTAATGTATATATTTTGTCACCCTTTATCCCTGACATAAATGCTGGGAGTGGCTCACTGATAAAAAGAGGGTTAGGTAAGTGAAAGCTGAGATGATGCAGGTGGGCAGAGGCAAGAACAGAGAAAGGGAGAGGAATAAACAACAAATAGATACAAAGAAATGTACAATGTTAAAAATTCAAAAGGGATGTGAGTTTGAAGTGGTACCAACACCAAGTGTTGTTTTGGTTGATGGAATGCAAGGAGGGAGGTGAAATGTACCCGCATTGAGCCGAGTTTAGCAACCCCGAGAGCCATATATTAAGTGGGACAAAGAGCGAATGGACAGAAGAAAGGAGGCCAGGTAACAGCTAGAGGGGAACAGAACAGAAAACAGACAGATTCAAAGAGACCGTATTTACCAGAACGGTAGGGGCCACTCAGCCTGTGGAAGTGGAGGAGAGATTTTGACTCTGAGCCCTGGGATTGGCTGCTTCTCTCTGGAAGTACTGCGAGGGTGCGGAGCCTAGCTTATGGGCCATCGCTTTTTAGGGTCAGGGAAAAGGGGGAAGGTTGGGAATATTAAGGCGTTACGGAGGAGTAGGAGCAGGTCACACAAGGGAGATTATTAATAATAATTAAGGAGTAGTTGAGGATTAGGAAAGGAGAGGGCATGGGCAGCAAGAAAGAGAAGGGACAGTTTATCAAAACATGACAGAGGCCGAAGCAGGAAGCAGAAAGAAAGAGACACACACAGACTGAGACTCTGACAGAGACAGAAACATGAAGTAAATCTAAACAAATTTCAAAAGACATTCATGCAAATGTAATGTACAGTGGTTTAGATAAGGGTAACTGTCGTAGTAATGTACCAATTACATTTGTGGGTGTGCTTCTTACTTCGTGTTTTTTTGTCTGTGAGCATGCTAACATTTTCTAATTAGAACTAACACAATGTATAGTTGATTGCACTGTCATAGGTTGTATATGTATTCAGCCATTAAGTACGAATGAAGAGATTACAGTTATGACCAGATGATGGTAGTAGATACAAGTTTAAAGGATAACCAAATGATAGACGACATAAAGCAAACCGAGGAAAGAGAAAGAAAAGGGAGAGGACAGGGGGCGGTACCTATTGTTTTTCATATTCCCGTGGAGAATGTACCTTTTTTTTTTAAACTTTTACCACTATGTTTCTATCATGGAGAACTTACTTGACTCTGGGAAGACTGAGGATCTCTTCCCTGGATCCTTCTGAAGCTGAATGCCTTTTACAGAGAAGATGGATGTGACTGAAAACAACAAAGCGTTGATGAGACAGTGTTTGTACAGTAAATGTGCAAATTCTAAATGTCAGACTGTGTGTACTCACTGTCAGACAGCGTTTGAACCTCCTCCCCAAAACATTTGAAATACGAGTGTTTCAGAGCGTCCTCAGCTGATACCCGCTTCTTAGCCTCAAACTAGAGACACATAGAGACAAAGAGAGGTGCATTAGTGTTTTAGTCTAATGTAATGGTAGTACATACGTATACTAAGAGTATTCATCATTTTAGGCAATGTTTCTTACCTGAAGAAGCAGTGAGAGGAGGTCGTGACCATCGTTGTCTATCCTGTGTCAAAGAAAGCAAGAGAAAAAGTCAGAGAGAAAGGAAAGGTGACAGAGAGGGATTTGAGTGCATTTGTAGTCAAATGCTGAGCTCAGCCATACAGAGCCTTAGAGGGTTCCTGCGATTTCAACAGAGGAGGAAACCCTTGACAACAGATACAACTTAAAATCAATCCTTATCTTATTACATCGTACACAACAGTCACTTAAAGGAAAGGTTCAAAATACTCAGGTCCCAATATGAATATTGCAGTTGTGCCTGATGTAATCATTCCTCCTGTCCATAATGATCATTCAAAGTAACTAAAGTAATCTGGTACAACATCCACAGTCTTTGTTATGTGAAGATAATATGAAGCTTCAGCATGCTGAGTCTAACCAAGTGCATTTCAAAATTAAAGTATTTTTATAACAACATTTCCTCTTTATGTTACTATCCTAATAACCTAGCTCTGCAGGGAGAGTATCCAGTGAGACAAAAAAAGAGGGAATTTGAACAAATTAAAGTCACTGTGACTATGAAAGATAACTCTTATAGATTATTTTTCCCTTTGATGTCACGGTTAAGTTAAAGTATGTGTTTTGGGGAGCCATAATAATAATCCTAGCAGTTGATTCTCAGCTCAGGTAAAAAAACAAAAACAAAAAAAACAAGATTGTCCTGGACATTTTTAATTTCTCAGATTTTTCTTGTGTTTTCAGTTCCTGGAAAATCGGTCAAATACTTTCTAGGCTTTCCTGTACGTTTTGGAATTCTGAAACCTGCTCTTGTTTTGAGACAACACACGTGGAGCCATGGCTGTGTGTGCCTACATTCACACCTACACACCTGGGTGCGTGGTTGACGAGGGGCTCTGCGTTGTATCGAGGAAATTTGTACGTCTTAAACTCTTCACTGGTGGTGATTCCAGTCCAAGTCTCTTCTGTAGGAGTACCTGTTCCAGATAAAGAGCATTAGTTATTATACATCAATTGTACAGACGCAGACAAACAAACTAAATAAGGATGCATGTCACATAAGCATATGATCATCTGAATTACGCTGATGTTGTCTCACCTAGGATGCGGAATATGAGATGTAGCTCATCTTCCACAGTGGATCCAGGGAAGAGAGGTCTGCCAGTGATCATCTCATAAAAGATGCAGCCCACACCCCTGGAAAAAGATAAAGAAACAATGGAATAAGAAATGTTGTTTTTTGGGGAAAGCTCAGAGAATAAACAGAGGCCCTTAATGTGAGAACAGAAAGAAACGGACAGACAAACAGGGGTAGTTTTATGTTCTTCTCTGAAAGTGTGTGTATTTGCTTGAATCTGTCTTTGCTCACCACATATCAATGGGTGTAGAGTACTCAGTGGAGCCCAGAAGCACATCTGGTGGCCGGTACCATAATGTCACAACTTCATTGGAGTAGGTCTTCGTAGGAACAGATTTAGCTCTCGCCAAACCTTAATTCAAACAGAAAATGACATTGATTTATGTTAATCTGCCGCATTAGGATTTGTATGTTTTAGTTCAACTCAAAACATCTCATACCAGCAGGAAACCTCCTTTTGGTTCCTACAAAGGGAAATTATGCAACACAGGAGTATGCACATTATTATGTCATGTTTTGATGTTCACCTACGGAGGGCAGTGTTGAGTGTTAAGTCAAAGTACTCTACTCCTGTTGGGTCTAGGAACAATATCCTTTAGGGGGCGCTAGTGGGGCGTTTTTCAAACTTTTTCCATTAAATACATTACAAACTCTCAGTAAATGACGAGCTAATTGTATTTTAACAAAGTAAAAATAGTTCCCTCTGAGTTTAGTTCATTTTAAAGCCTGTAAATTCATTTTTTATAGAAAATATAATGACGGGTCAAACCGAAAAGAAAATATATGAGACTGATGTTGTGCTTTTAGTAAGTCATATGATGATATACCGAAATCTGCCAGTTTGAGCTCTCCTTTCTCATTGATGAGCAGGTTCTGGGGTTTGAGGTCTCTGTGGAGGACCTTTCTTCTGTGGCAGTACGCCAGACCTCGCAACAGCTGGAATAGGAATATCTGAAAAGGAGTTGACATTCGTATAAGTTATTGTTATAAAATAAATATAATCATTTATTGTAACAGGTTACATTATGTGGCATTCTTTTGATGTACTGATCAAACAACTTTCAACATTATAATTGAGAAGCCAAGCTGCATGCCAATGTTTTGCTGCTATTGAAAGAAAATACACACAAAATGGACGCTTTCTTTTCATTTGCAACTGTGAAAATATGATTACATTCAGTAGCAACTCTAAAGATGTCTCCTCAGTACTGAACATGTGTATTGCTTTGCATTACCTTGACATTGTGAACACTCATTATGCTCCCACAGTCATCCATGTACTGCTTCAGATCTTTTTCCTGAGAGGAGATAAAGAAAGAATTAAATAAGTGCAGATATTCAGATTAGTATTATTTGCTCTCTCACACACAATAAACCTACACACATGCACAGTACAGACACTCACCAGGTACTCAAACACGAGTGTCAGGCACTTCTCAGTGTGGATAATGTCATGGAGAGTGACAATATTGGCGTGCTTCAAGTCCTTCAGTAGAGACACTAGAAGGGGGAGACATATTGGAGACTGTCAGTCAAACACAGAGAACCTGTGAGGAAGCAGCTCATAGTTCTCTACAGCTCAGGGAGCTACCAGGCAATACCGATAATAAGCAACTACAGTAGGTCACAGCACTGTCAAAACCTTACAAGCTTCTTGACAACATGGTGCTGTGTTTGCCTGTGAGTTGTTTACTTCCGAATTGCATGATTTAGACAGCATGTCAGTACCTTCCCGGATAGCCGTGCAGGGCGCGCCCTCCTCGTGCTCCAGCCGGATCTCCTTCAGAGCAACTAAGTTGTCTGTTAACTTGCTTCGCCCCTTAAACACTGTAGCATAGGTCCCCTGCGGAGATAGAAAGCATGCAAGTGTGAGTATTTTGAGGAGTTTGTATCTATTTAGTGTCACTTTCAAGGATTTTCTTTATTGATCTCACCTCCCCTAGTTTGTCCAGTTTGATGTAGGTCTCAAGTTTCCCAAAGCCGATTTCAGACTGGAGAAGACAGAAAGAAGACAGTTGAGGAAGTTATATCTCTATCAATGTACAATATTGTCAAGACATTGAGGACTCTTTGTGGTTGTGGTAGCTAAGCCCCTCCACTATGTTTCTATCTCCCAGCTACCTTTTTTATCAAAAGCCCTGGAGCGAGTAGTCTACGCCCAGCTGCAGTCTTTTTTAACCATCCATGGAATCCATGAAAAGTTTCAGTCTGGCTTCAAACCCATGCACAGCACTGAAACAGCCCTTTTAAGAGTTTTTAATGATCTGCTCCTAGCCGCCGACTCAGGTAGCCCAGCTGTCTTGGTGCTGTTAGACCTGACAGCTGCCTTTGACACTGTGGACCATAGCATCCTGCTGTCACGGCTTGAACAGTCCGCAGGCATCACAGGCTCTGCCCTTGCATGGTTCAGGTCCTACCTGACAGACCGTAGCTTCTCAGTGCAGCTAGGTGCCTTCTCCTCTGCCAAAGCCCCTCTTACCTGTGGGGTTCCCCAAGGCTCGATTCTGGGCCCCATCCTTTTTCTACTGTACATACTGCCCCTAGGTTCAATTCTCACAAAACATAACATTCCCTTCCACTGCTACGCCGACGATGTACAGATCTATCTGCCTCTCAAAGCAAATGTCAAACACTCACTACAGCAGCTGATGGACTGCTTAGCAGAGATAAAATCCTGGCTGAGCAAAAACTTCCTCAACCTCAACGAGAGCAAGACTGAGGTCATCTTTTTTGGACCGCAACCTCCAGCCTCTCCGGTTGATATTCTGGGCTCTATCAAAAAAAACATCCTCCCCTCGGTCATGAACCTTGGAGTGACCTTTTAAATTCGACAAGCAGGTCAGCACCGTAGTAAAATCCTGCTTTTTTAAAATAAGACTATTGGCCAAAACCAAGTCGTATTTATCTTTTAAAGACTTAGAAAGGGTTATTAACGCCTTTGTAACCTCGAGACTGGACTATTGTAACGCTCTGTATGTGGGTATGGACCAGGCCTCAATTAAACGCCTACAACTAGTCCAAAACGCTGCTGCACGTTTGCTGACTGGCCACATAAAGCGTGACCACATCACCCCTATTCTGGCCTCACTACACTGGCTTCCAGTTCGGTTCAGAATTGATTTTAAAATCCTTTTATTTGTTTTTAAAGCACTAAATGGGCTGGCTCCGGCCTATATAGCTGAACTGCTCCAGCGCTACACCCCAGCCAGAGCTTTAAGGTCTGCTGACCAGCTGCTGCTGGTAGTGCCCAAGACCAGGCTAAAAACCAGAGGGCACCGAGCCTTCGCAGCAGCTGGCCCTAGGCTCTGGAACACTCTGCCCCTCCATGTGAGGTCGGCCCAGACCCTAGGGGTTTTTAAATCTAAACTAAAAACACACTTCTTCTCTCTGGCTTTCTAGTTAGAGCGGAGCATGACTCCTGACTTTTGTGTGTTTTATTTTTATTTTGTTTTTAAGATATATCTGTTGTAATTTATTGTCGTTTACTGTGTTTGTAGTAATTGTGTTTTTATTACATGTACAGCACTTTGGCTCGACCAAAAATCGCTTTTAAATGTGCTTTATAAATAAAACCTGATTTGATTTGATGTTTAGTCTAACTATCTTGAGAAACAAATCCTGAGGGCCACGGCTGTTAGTTCAGATTTCAGTTTCATTGTTGATGACATCTGGCCTACAACTGCAGGGGTTTGAGTCACCAAATCTTATTATTCTGTGTGCGTCTGTCGGTTTGTGTGCTTATGCTAAAGCTTTAGCTTATCCAACATTACCAGTATGTAACTGAGCATCTCTTATTTTTCTAATTCTAGTTAAGGTTATGTCTTCGTGATTGCATATATCATCTGTTTCTCTACTGTATTTCACCTTATGATCTAAACTTACATTTGGTCAGATCTTCTGACATGGTCCAGTTCATGGAACATCATTCAGAATCATATACATTGCATTGGGCACAAACATATACAGGCACATTTGAAAGCCTGTGTGGTATAGTGGAAAATGAAATGATAACTTGAACTTCCATGAACAAAATGTAATTTTCTCCAAGTCTTTTAATGCTATTCTTTAGCCGCAGGAATGCAGTATAACAAAGACAATGAAATGAGGCTCTGCAGATAGCTTCATGGGGATATTTACGTCTAAACATGTCTATAAATACCCAGCGTGCATACTTCTAATTGGTGAGTTGGATAAACTTTGAATTAATCCTGAATTCAGATAATAAAGGTTAAGCTGCATAATGTATATGGCCCCCGAAACCGGGTCATGAATTATAGATGGATGTAGCTATGTCAAGCTGTGATACCCACACGCCTGTCAGTGTTTATCCCTTTCTCTGTCACTTTCCCCCACTTATTTGTCTATCTATGTCAGGGTTGATCCAGCCATGTTTTATCTGTGCTCATCTCTCTGAACCCACCCATCTCTCTCAATCTTGCACTGGCCCGTCCTGTAATGATGCTGATATGAATGCCAAGCCGATGCTCGTCTATGCGTATGGGGGGGAGGGTCTCCAGTGACCAAGTTAGCTAATGAAGCATGTGATCTCTTTAAAGGCATGCCCAAAAGGCAACATCAGAACGAGATGGGACATACAAGATGACACACTTGTTATAGTGTGTATGTGTATTGGTATGCACAAAACCACATTTGCGTAATGAATTATTGGGATTATTTAATTTATGTTTCAGAATCAATATCTGTGTTGTATCTGGTAGTTTGCAATGCCAAAATACTAATGGAAAATATAAATACAAACTGTAGTGCGTAATTATTATGTACTTTGTAATATTTGTAGGGGCCTGCACTGTATGTATATGCTGTGTGTGTGCGCTTTTGTGTGTGTGTGTTTGCAAGAGAATATTTGTGATGAGACAGGCAGCCTATGCTCAAATGTAAACACACTCCCCTCTGCACACACACAGACACACACACAAACACACTGTTCCCATCTCTGCTCTTGTGACAGCGGCTGTCAGGAGCTGTTGCTGAGCTGTGCTGCTCTTTCGGCAGGGGAACCAGTCACATGAGAAAAACACACCCACATGAACACACACACGCCCTGAGTGACACACACAAAAAAATAATCAGTGGCCTTGCTCCATGTTAGTGTCTCTAAACCAAATGAGGGCCCAGCTCCTTACCTTCTGCCCACTCTCTGCTTACAGCCAGCAACTGCACTCTCTGTCTATGTACCTGATGATCCTTTTTGAGAGTGTGCGTGCCTGCGTATGCTTTCGATGGCAATGGGTTCATTTAATTCCCAACGCTTCACTGAGATTACTCGGCAGAACTACGTCAGACCAAGTTTTTGTGACAAAATAGAGCAACATAAAACCAGACAAGATGTCTGTTCACTATTAATAGGGTATCTCCTTCTGATACTTGTGAGCAGGTTTGATGGGGAGTAGAATGGATTGAGACTAGTTTTTAGTGGTAGAGGGGATATGAGGCTGATGGCAGGTGAGTGGAGGTGCAAAGACCAAGCGAGCCGTTTCATTAACATGATATAGCCAGTCCTTCGAGTTTCAATCAATCAACCAATAAACATCCTGCACTGTCACCTTTCTCATTTAAACCTGCCAGTAGCAATAGACCAGGTCTGAGTGAACCTGCACTAACACAGATCACTGCTTTTATATTCATGTTGTGCTACATTCCTCCTGATGAACAGAGATTTTTTATCAAATGACTTAAAAATATTTTTCTTCACCTGAATACTGTACATTCCCTTTTTCCCGTCTGCAGCCGCAACAATAAAGATAGTTTTCCATGAGTCAAACATGCATTGTCAATATTGCGGTTGATAAGGTTCATTTAATTGTGAGAAGCCAAAAACGTGACTGGGATTTATATTCAATTAACTGCACAGACTTAGTATGCTTTAACAAAAGAATAAAACCATCAATAGGAGACTCTTTGTTGTATTTTGTCACTGCATGGTTGAATGGATGCAGAGAAAAGGGAGCTTTGCACACAGCTAAGTGTTGTAGTTTGAGATAAAATGACATCTCTTTCCTCAGCACAATGGAACACTGAATCTCATTGGTTCGCAGTGAATAATTGATTTCAACAGCCATTAGAGAAATTGATACCAACCAACTTCACTTACATTACATTGGAAGCGATTCAAAGATCAAAATACACGGTTTCAAGTGTGAGCTTCTGTAATGGGACACCCGACGCATGGTCATGTTACAGTAACAACTGAAAGCTAAACTGATAACCCAGAAGCCATAACATCTAAGTGCAGAGAAACATATTGCTATTTTAAAGCTTGCAGTAATTCAGGTTTGGTGTGACACACTTAGGCACACTTGTTCTGTTGGGAGAATAAAATCAATACTTTTGGAGAGACATTTATTTTCCATGCCAGCATGTTTCAAACTGGTCTGGGTTTTGACTTCTCCTTATTTTCAGCTACAGGTTTTTTAAACTGACGTAAGAGGCAAAGGCCAACTCATTAAGGCCAAGTCTCCAGCTGAGCATGTCGAAAGTAGGTCTGTAAAAGACTGAGTGCAAAAGTGTGTCCTGTAGAATACACACATACATTCAAACTAACTCCAAGCACACACTGGTTTGAAATGTAATCTCAGCTGCCATCTAACTTCTCTAAAACTACAGCTCCTTTTCACACATTTCTTCATCCTCATTTTTAACCGCATCTCACTTTTAAATCACATCTTGTCCTTTATTCCATTAAAATGCTCTAGTCATCCCTCCTTGCATTTCCCCCCTCCCTATGCCTTGTTCTCTGGCTTATTTCAAGGTGTCCCTGTGTGTAATCCTTGTCAGGAGAGGAGCTGCAGCAGATGAGTCTGACAGTGCTGCTGAATTATTGATTGAGCTATTACATCACATGCATAAAAATACACAGCAACACACAAGTGGACAGACCCAAGCATGTTAGAAAATGTCCACCACTCATTAACATTGTGAAGACACAATAACCTGAAAGTCTATCCTCTTTTTTCTCGTCCACTCTTGCAACATAAACCTCTCTTCTGCCTTGCAAACCTCTCTTCAAAGATGATTTCCTTTCATCTCTGTGAGACTCAAAATTAAATCGCTTCAAGCTGAGAGCCAAAGGCAGAGTACCAGCCCTGTTCAATAATGACAGCAGAAGTGGTTGATGGAGGGCAAATCCTTTATGCTTTCCCACAGTATACCAATGCTTTTGGTAAACATGATTTAAGATAACTGTATCAGAAAGGCAGATCATTAAAAAAAAAAAGGGCAGAGGTATGTAAGAGGAGTGCATTGGAACAAAAAAAGAGAAACATAAAATCAGCCTTGCAATTGAATACCTCCGCCCACTGATAAATGTTACGTTTATATCCATGTCTATCCAAAATGTCATTACATCATTGTATTATCCTATATGTATGTATGTATGGTCAAAAACAGTTAAGGTAAGGTGGGTGTGTTTCGCCCAATTCAAAGAAATACCGTCAGAGTGTTCCTGATACATACCCTTTTACAAGAATGGGAGGAATGTGCGGTCACGGTGAACTTGACCTTTGATCACCAAAATCTAATAAGGTAATCCTACAGTGCAAGGGGATGTTTGTGCCAATTTGAAGAAAATCTAAATTCTACCAGATAGATGTAGGGACAAAATTAAACACAATGCTTCCGTCCCCGTCAGCCCGGAGGCAGAGCAAAAGACTAATGTGGAATATGTGACTAAATTAAATTCAAACAGCAGATGTACAAAGGCGTTTTAACTGGCATACTGCATATTCATGAATAACTGCCTATTCCTACCAATCCGCCCCCTTTCTATCTATCCAGTAGTCCCTCCTCTCCTCTCTCTCCCACCCCCAGATTCATACACATAATGCTCTTGTTCTGGATACATAATACTGCCTACTGAGCCATTGTAAGCTATATAGCATAACAAGTAACAAAAGGGTTTGAAATGCGTCAATGTTTGTGAGTTTCCAGTGTGGCAGAGGGTATAATGGCCTTCCATTTTAGTTGTGCACAATGGCTTTGAAACACATTACTTTTGTTTCAAAACAAAGGAGCAGTAAAAGAGAAGCACCAGCATGCAGTACTCCAAAAACTACACATGGAGATGCTAAGTAGCAACCAACACATTAGCTGATTGACGCCAGTTTCAGCTGCTTTGCAAATGTATACCCAAATGCAAATATACACACAGACAAAATGAGCACTTACCAATGAAGCACGCCGTAGCCTGCGGCTCATGGGTTTGTCAAAGGGGGGGCTGTTCATGGCAAACTTCTCCAAGTAGCCCTCCGGTAACCTGATATCAGCTGGGAGAGACAAGCGCTTGTTGATGTCCTGAAACATAGAGATGGGAGGGGGGACAAAGAAAATAAGTTATAAACATAAATCACAAATAATAGGTTCAGAATTCAACAATCATCGCTTTCCCCTAAATTGATACCTGTAACCTTATGACCGTGATGGCAAGTATGAAGGAGGGGCTTCCATACTTACACATTGAAAACAACCATCCATTTATAATTATACATACTCAAGCTTAGTAAATATTTTATTTGGAATATCGTCCAGATCTTGCGTATCTTCTGTAACATAAACGGAATGATTGAAAATCAAATGAATGAAGCAACATAGTCACATTTGATTAAAACAGACTCATCATTAATCAACTTCTATTCATCTGAAATGATGACAACATATTTTGTGCCCATCTCTGATGACTTTGACTAAATTGATCACTGGCATCAAAAGTCTCCTTAAAGCCTTGATAACTTGGCTTACTTTTATGCATCGTAAAAAAAAAAACAGTGTTCTCCATCTGTCACTCCTGGCAATGAGTTTGTCAAGTGACTGTAGCTCAATTACTCAGTATTGGTCTACAGGTGCCATCTGCTGTTGTGTATGACTGATGACTGATGGTGTGAATGAAATGCTGTCTAGTATAACTAAAGGAAAGCCCACTGCAAGGCCACTATGTGATGGCCCTACTTTCGGGAAAGTTCCTGGTAAGTTTCAGGCTCATTCTAAACTAAAGCTCCCAAATTCATCTGGAACACATCTGAAAATACCTTTTTATGATGATGATAAATATTTTTAGTGTACACGCTTTATTTTTATTTTTTTTATTTTTCTCTTCTGCCTAGTGTTGCTGACATCGTTGAGTTTGAGTCATTTTCTGCGTAGTACAGGGGGGACCCCATTTTTGTATGTAAAATTACAGATTATACTTACTTAACACATGTAGCATGAATACCTCTGAACTACCCTCACTTCATTGGCTTCAATACAATTTGTGTGATGCTACCTTTCCCACAATGCATTGGCCCTACGTGTTATCCATGTAGGACATGTTCGCTGGAAAGGTGCCAATCACACGTTGTTTCCATGGCAGCGGGGGCTGGCTGGCCCAGTCCCAGCAGCCCCACGGTATGTGTCCTGGATGTAAGTGTGTGAAATGATATGTGTGTTTACATGTGAGCGTTAGTGGGAGGGTAGGAAGTGTATGTAAGCCTGAAGATGAAAGGCAGAGGGATTTTACGCCTATCATGGCTTTAAGCTCATTGGCTAACATACCAACATGCAGTATTACATACAAGTCATCACCCAAAGGACCAGGTTACACCGCACAGTTTTCAACATACACTAACATGGAAAATGATAAGCAATGCTCTGCAGACCTCATAAAATCATTATGCAAAAATCAGCCTTGAACACATGCACTACCAATGACCTACGGACTTTGACCCTGAGTAATTCACACAGATGTAAGCTCCGCTGAATGTTTGAATCACAAAAGAGTGAAATACATGGAAGGCAAGCACTGCAACCCCATATAGAGTGAGAAAACACAATACTCTTATTACTTCCAGAAAAATGCACATTTTCTTCTGCTTTTCTACAAATACTCTTCATAATCATGCAAATAATAAAGCCAGCGACTCCACCACAACAAACGTAAACTATGCATACTCCATTTCAAAAGGGAAACAATTGACAATGACAATCCCACACAAAAACACATGTGTCCCCATACTCACAATGCAAAACAGCTCTAGTAGCTCCCTCATTGTCCTCCTTAAACGTGTCTTTCTATACACTCACACACATGCGTTTTCCACGATGCATGTCTCTGACCAGCCACATGACTGCACACACGCTGACAGAGAAAGAGGGAGAGAGGGGGAGAGAGAGAGAGAGGCTGGCATTGTGGTAGAGTGCCATCCAAATGCTCAGAGGAGGAGGAGAAAAGAGAGGAGGAGGAGGGGGTGAGTATGAGCGGAGAAGAGAGGAATAGACAGATTCCTGAGGGAAGAAAGGCAGATGGGGGGAAGGGGTGAACGGAAGGGGGTGGCTGAGAGGAAACATTGTTTTTTGGTTCTCACCCCCCATTATTTTGTCCTCCATCTCTCCTTCTCCCTCTTCTCTCTTATCATCTCATGAGCCCGGTTCCTCTGGATCTCCTCTTTCTTTGTCATACCAATAATTACTCCTACTTCCATAATTACTCTCTCACCCCTTGCATTTCCTCTCATTTGCTTCCCCCCTCTACTCTCTTTTTCTCTCTTTGGTAAAAATGGTCTCAATGAGTCCCTTCCACTGTGCTCGGCAGTCAGAGGCAGCAGCCTGCGTGTCCAGAGGCATTTCCTGTTATACTGCTGCACTCATTGCTCTGCAACTCCTTTAAAACAGATACACAAACACACAAACACACAAACACGCACACACTGTGGCAAGGACATGGGCACATACTTAGGGATGTGGCAAAATAAAGCATCAAATAGCATGTTACCTGTCCACAGATAGTATAGGTGCCCTTGTATAGAAGAGGCGACTAACTGCATGTTAAAGAAGATAACGAAAAACCCAGGTCCGGTTCCCCGAAATAGTTTTTTTTATTGACTATATACACATTTCACAACAGAAAAATGTAGAGAATCAATCATTGTAAATGGATATTCAGTAACTTAGAGCTAACTACTATGATGCAATGCACGGACAGGAAAGGAAAAAGAACATTTAGTATTGAAATGTTCCGCTTCTTGCCATCACATATAGCCAAAATTATACTGGAATTTTTTTATGGGGATATTGACATCAATATTATGGAATTTGATATAATATTCTTTAGACATATACATGTCATTCAATCAATTGGGGTATATACCAATACTGTTGTATCTGCAGTAACCTAATATTGGCCAATACATTGGCATCAAACACACTGTATTGTCCTCTGCAAATAATTCCCATAGTTTGTAGTTGATGATGCATAGTAAATGAGTGAAACACCCAAACATTTAGGCAGTTTTGATGTTATATATTGTATTTTATATTGCGTTATTGCAACTATTACTGATTTTTTGGCGTACAGTATTTGATCAATATTACAAAAATAATATCAATTTGTACTTTTAAAATGTAAATGTTTCAAAAACGTTCACGCCAATAAAGCCATTAAATTGAAGCTAAATGTAATGTTTGCGAACAAAGCCAAAGAGTAGTGTGTGAAATGGTCTTAAACTTTCCATTACCTCATTAGAGATGCGCCGATGGTGGTTGTTCCTCATCCGGACCCGGACTGGACTCTGGACCTCGTCAGAAGACGTCCCAGAGGCCTGGTCGCTCTCCCCGTCTGATCCCATCTTCACATTCTCATGGACGATACCTACAACACACACAGACACAAACAGACTGTTATTGTCAGAAATTGTTATTGTCTTTTTTATCAACACTAGTCTTTGGTACTGCTATTCTGCTTTGGCACTATGCCTATTAGCCCTAATCTCCTCTCCAATCATCTCCATGCACCCATCAGAGGACACAGCCTTTTGTTTTTCTAATATCTCATTCACCGGTATGAGAAAGCCATAGCAGGGTCCCAATGCTAAAATGATGGATTGTACCACCAGCCATGCAGGGGTGTTTGCTGATTGTGTATAAAATACCATTTGTAAGATGAGGAGGTCAGAGATCAATATCACCCTGCATGCAATGAGAGCTTTCCCGTCTTTGCCTGCCACCCCCCACACCTCCATTTGCCCCAGACTCCATCTGATTAATGAGTCACGGTGCACAAGACAGGACTACTTCCATCAATGGTGTGCGGGTAAATGTGGGGGAAGGGTCTCTCTTTGGGTTTCAGTGTACGGTGCCTGATAACTCTCAAGTACAGTGCATACAGTGTGTGTGTGTGTGTGTGTTTCCTTATGTTTGGTAGAGAAAATTGCTTTATGAGAAGAACCGCAGATGTAAAAGCTCAACCCAAATGCTTCCAACATCTTACCTTACGTTTTCATTCTAAAACAGCCACCATAGGCAGAGTGACAGATAGAGGAAGATTATGGGATTGAGGGCAGCATGATTGTGTTGGGTAGACGAAGAAGAGGAATAAGCGTGAAGAAAAATAAGTCCCTTGAGTGATTGTGACACGTCATCCGTGAGATTGGGCGATAGAGAGCCAAATAGGTAGAGCTATTTATCATAATGTCAGCTATAGAGTGGTGCAACACCACCTGAGGCCAATTCTAGGTCATTTGAGTGTGTCTCTCTCTCTCATGTAGTCAAGGTTCGGAATAGAGAAAGGCAAACTGGTTTACGGATGTCCCTTTTGGGCATTGTACAGCTTTCTATTTACTAACTACTTAAATGTTTGGTATTGCTGAAATGTATGGATTCATGGACAAAATTAAATACTTACAAATGTAAAAAAAGGAATAAATGAACACAAGTATAAATGTATAATGTTCGAAAGTCTGTTATTATGGCATTTACCAAATTATACTTTATTTCATTACACTTAAAATACTTAAAATAACTGTGGTAAGGTCATAGCGCTCTTATATTGTTTGGTTAATCACATGTCCCCTGCCTCTTGAGCCTGCAAGCAGTGAACTACCTGTGCAGATCCAATCTGCTTATATCAGCCTACATCCTGTCCATCGCCATAACTATCTGTTGACGAAAGCAGCATATGCTCATTAGCAAAACACAAGTCTGATGTACTGCCTGTGGCCTTGTAAGCCAGACACAAGAATACACGATATGCATACAGAATAGCTTGGTAAGAAAACCGAGCAGTAGGTTTTCCTATCAGGAATCAACCCTGATGGTGAAACATTAAACTCTAGGAAACAAACACCGGAGTAAAGGTAAATTGATCCAGGATATCTACATACTGACAGACGCACACATATGACCACATGCTCACGAGGAGGGAGTATCCAGTACTGCCATTATGGGACAGTTCCGTCTCACTTTCAGAGAGGTCTTGATCTTGCCTGTTTGCGTAAACAGTGGAGGAGATGCGGGCAGCGGGTGGATCAGACAAGGTGAGTGACCGAGGAGGACAATTCCTTCACCTTGGCCTTGAAAAAGTATTATACAATAATGTTCTGCTAGTAAGTACAACATGAGGATCTGTCTCTCAAAACACACTTTTTTCTTAAAAGAACACAAACAAGTACACTTGCATGTACTTCCTAATCGCACAGGGCATTCTTTTCCATTCTCCTGCAGGTTCTTTCTGCTCCATTTCCACAGCAGACTAGGGGCAGACAGTAAATGTCATGAGTTACCACTGCCTCCCTATGTGGAGCCCGGCTGGCTTAGTTAGGGTTGCTGACTCCCTAGCATGCCTGGAAAATTGAGTGGGATGCTTTTAGGACTATTCCAACTCCACTTAGCTAGAAGCCCATCTCTGGAACATGTTGGCAGTGCCTCAGAAAATTGAAAAGAGCAGAATGTTAAAGGAAGTAAAGTAAGTGTAAGCTGACCCCTTCAAAGAGCAATGGAAATCTTTTTTTTACGTCAGAAACCCTCCCTCGGCAGGGCATCGAGTTCAGTGGGTTTTTCAAAAGGGTACTGGTAGATGTATTAGTTACTGTCCACATCCAATGCATTACCCAGACTGAGCTTTGAACTGAACATTTAACTTCTTCTTTTTGCTCTTAGGCCAGAGGTTGTCATAACAGTTTTTGAATAAAAGACACCATACGCTCCGATTTTGGCATGAGCAACAAGAATAGAGATACCACAGCCATTGTGCTGACAAGCAAATAGATAAAAAATTCAAAAGATGTTCTTGCAGTCTGCGTGTTCCCTCAAGATCCAAACAGACACTGCCCAGGGCCACCCACTGCATCTCAATTCTTTAGACCAGCAACATAAAGGAAATTATGTTGAGAAATTAATACATTATTAATAACATTTTCAAAGTTGTAGGATCAGCAGATTCTGAGAGAAATCTACTTTACATAAACCCATGTCTTTGTATCTAATAAATCCTCAGGACATGCGTTTGATCTTAATGTAATGTCCCAGTGTGGAATCAGTATATGTGTTAATGCAATAACAATACAACTATAATGGGCCTTTATAATGTCTCATAGGTGAGGAGTTATGTACAATATCATTTATTATAAAATGTTACCTCTGAAAATAATCTATAAAACTCATAGTTATAAAAATGCCTCTGTCATCAGTATGGTGGAAAACCAAATTTGATGTAAGGAAGTTGATAATGAGGATGACCGTGATGAGACTCACCAATACGGCTTCCAGGAGGACGGCATGAGTCCAGCATTCGTAGCATACGGAAAGGTGACAGCCTAAGTGGGGTCTCTCTTTCCCCCATTCTTATCCCCTGTCCCATCCTAGCCTCCCCCAACCTTGAGTCTCCTACACCGGTAGCACGTGCAGGGCACCCTTGGTGGTTGCCTGACGTATCCATTGTTCCAGAGGATTAAAAAAACACTACAGTTGGAGGTGTGATTACAAATTCAAAGAGACATTTTAGAAAGAGCCAGGGCCCAGTCGAGGAGATGGAAATCACTTCAGTCCAGTCTGGGTGGGACCGGGGGCTTCAGAGATGGTTGCTGTTTGAGGGTAAACGGGGTCTGTATCTCCATAGAGTCCCAGGCAGAACTAAACAGTCTTACATCGGGCGGACAGTGCAGGCTGCACAGGCACACTAATCAAAATGCAACAACTCCCTCGGCTACTACTCCACTTTAACACTCTCTCTCTCTGTTTTTCTGTAGACACTCCCTCTCTCCACCTCTCCTTCTTACTCGCTCTTTTTCTCTCTGCAGTCTCACTCTGCCTGCTGACTAAGGAAGGTCAAACTCCGTGCAGGTAGACAAAATGCTGCAGAGACAGTGCAACACAACCAGCTGGAAACTGTTACACCCCTTCATTCAAGAATAACAGGTGTTATGTGTCCTTCTTTATCATTCACACCTACAGCTCCTTTTACGAAGAAAAACACCTTCTTTCGGTTTTCAACTATCCGAGTTATTTCCTTCACGTTCTCTCTCCTGTTACTTTTCCATGTTCAGTCCAGTGTCTTCTTCTTTTTCCTGATGTTTCTTCCCTTCTGTTCTTCCACTGTTATTCAGCACACCACTCTATTCATCCTCTCTCGATTGCTCCCTCCTTGCCTCTGGCGCCCCTATCAGTGCTTTCAGTGCCGTCCTACCTTGCTATTACTCCCCTTCCTCTCATGTGATACCAATCTTTCTCTCTCTACCACCCTCCTCCTGTCTCTATATCTCCCTCCCTCCCTTGCTCTTCTCTTCTCCGTCTGGGTCCAGAGATGGTGTTAAATATACAGTACTCTCCTCTCTTTCTATTCAGGAGCCGACGACAACATTTTCTGCTCGATCAGCCTCTTTCTTTCACTCCGTCTCTATCGCCCCATCTTATTTGCCTGCTCTCTCTCCTGCTCCATCCGTCCTCTCAACCATCTGCGTCCTTGTCCTTATCACTCTCTAGCGCAGACATTAAAACCCTGAAGCTTTTGAGTGACGCCTCTTGCATCCTAGCTCACATCTCCCCCTCTCATGCATTTTCTCCACCTTCCTGTTTCTCCTTCCGTCCTTCCTCGTGGAACTGAATCACCGGCCATTATCATTCTCATCTCGTGCCCACATACACACACTATCCCTCCTACATACCATTGCACACACGTAACGGTGCATGCCTTTCGCTACTACACACATAAATGGCTCTAGGTGACACACCTGCATAGCAAACACAATATGAACAAACAAACATTGCTTTTACAAATATAAAACAAGGAACTATCCAGCAGGATGTAGAGATGTTATCCTGGTGAGTGTGTCGCTGCACTTGAAAACATTTTAGTTTTCTTTGCAGAGTGTTTCTTCTTAATAAAATGTGCAAAATGGACTGAGGGGGGCAGCAGCACAAGCATTACAAGCGTTAAGGTCCTATTACATCCTTGCAATACAACACTGAGTGGATTATAGTTGAAAGGCAAAGGTCTGTGAGTCTTTGAGATCATTGATTAGATAGGAAAGACATAAAGGTGGGATAGTGGAATCTTTTGTAAGCTCTTTATTGGTTGGTGTAGGTTCCAGGAAATACCCTTTGACACAAAGTAACTGAGTAACCCTAACGTAGGTTCCAGGAAATACCCTTTGACACAAAGTAACTGAGTAACCCTAACACTGTGTTTGAGTACAGGTTTGAGGAGCTTGAAATTTGCTTTTGGTCATTTTTAATTATAAATGTATTACATTTAAGATATTACATAAGAAACATATAATCACTTTAGAAAATGTGATGCCTTGTCATAGATAACACAACCACAAAAATACAGTTTGTGAAGCATATAAGGTTAGCTTCACATTGAGTATAACATTAAATTCATGCATACTTAATGGGTAATAATTGGCCATTGATACAATAATATAATGACAATAGCTATTATGTGTGTGGGTATATATATATATATATATACACATACCCACACACACTCAGTACTTTTATTACACTGTTCATTGAGACTTTGAATATTATAGTATAGTAAGGTATAGTATAGTAGCATAATATAGTATGTCATAGTATGTCATAGCATAGCATAGCATAGCATAGCATCTTAGTAGTATTAACGTTTTTGAAATTTGAATGCACCCCAACATAAAACAATTTTAAAAAAGTGTTTATAAAAAATGATTGTGTTGAAAATGTCAGCAGGATAAAGTTAACATGCAGCAGGGTTAACACTTCAAAAACTGTTCCTCAAATGTGTGCCACAACTATAAAGAGAGAAAAGATCACCCTCCCTTCATGTCAATAATCAAGATGTCGTGTAAGCCTTAAATGACAAAACACACTTCAGTAGAAAACTACTCGCACCCTAGATGTCAATAATGATGCATTTAATCATAGGACAAACACCACTTGACACATCTAAAATGTAATGGCATAAATGGCTTGGATGAGCAAATATATTAGATAATCAGCGTACTGTATACTTAACTAATCTTGAAAATATGTTTAAGCTAGCTATGTGTGGAAGCTGTCTAAAAATGAATATTTTAGAGGACTGTAAGTGTGCAGTGTTCACTTTAATGTCTCCATGAGGCATACTTAGGAATATTTAGTTTGGCCCATTAGTCTATACTTCAAATTAGATCCAGGTAAAGAATAATGGCCATTTACAGGGCATTGACAGACATATATTGATGTAGAGTGCTGCATCCCTGAGCTTTAAAAAGTCAAAGACTGTCTCTCTGTCTCTTTGTATTCACAACTGCAACGATTCCTCTCTTGCTCTGCAGCAGCACACAGCGTTTCACTTCCTTCAAGGTTAGAATGTCATTTTTTCTTGTTTCCAACATATTTATTGTCGCATTTGCTTGGCAACATTTGAGCTTCCAATCAAAATGTTATTTTTTATGCAATTTTCATTTTACCATAAATACTAAAGTCTTCCTCCAGTACAGAGACAATACAAATCAAAGAGCATATAACATCCCAGAGGAACACACACACATAGTGGAACACACTCAGAAGGCTGGAGGGAGGGAACATTTAGACTGCAGTAATTACCTATAAACCTTTTATCTGCATCTAAGGAATCTTATTATTCAATTACTGGGACTGGAGTGCCTACTGTCAGCTACCGGCCCCCTATGTGCCGGTCCCCAATGCCTCACCCACCCCTTCCCTTTCCTATATCACCACATAGAATCACCTACATTCTTCAGAAATATCTTTCCTTTGCCTCAAGCATAAGCTATTGTAACAGCAAGCCCTAACACACCCAAAAGGCTTACAAGACCAACTACGTAAAAAGACCGCGCTCCATTGTTCTTACTAAATCCAATCTGTGAGTGAGCAAAGAGGGTTAGAGTGAGCAAATGGCCGAGAGTGTAGGGAGACAGGGAGAGGGCTACAGCCATTAATGCATTACATTAAATCCCTGGCACAGACAAGGTCTCTTGGTGGTGTACAATACACAGAGGGAGATAAGGGTGGTCTGAAAAGCTTTCCATCTTTTATACTTTGCCCCCTTCTGCTTTTATCTGGAGGTTAAATATAGTATTTGATGTATGTAGAGAGAAAGTGAGAAAAAGAAAAAGGAGACATCTGTGACAGAATCAGAAATAGCAGACTGTGGCGGGTTTTAGGAGAGAAGGCAGCTTTCAGCCGAGTCCCTACTCTCAGTAAAACAGACGGGAGGGCCGGCTAATCCTCAACAGTGTAACTACAGATCTCCACTGAGAGAAAGAGATGAGGTAGCGGTGAAAGCAAAAACGAAAAGTGCAGTGCTCGTCGTTCCTCACTGTAAGCACAGTGTGGTGGGATGGGTGTTGGCCCCATTTAGCAACAGTTGAATCACAAACCTGTAAAAGCTCCCTGGCTCTGGCAACTGGCCAAACTCTAACACACAAATATAAACCAGCAGTCAGGTCCACTTACACAGATGAAAAGTGAATTGAATTGAATACTATTATAAATGGATAGAGCAACTTAAAGAAATGCAGAGAAAGACAGAGGGAGAGAGAAGAAGAGGAGGGGTGGGCAAGGTCTTTAGTGCAGCGGAAAGAGAGATTGCATCATCATGTTGCCTTACTAACGGGCGTGACGTGATCTGACTGCCCGAGGGGTGCACACACACACACACACACACACACACACACACACACACACACACACACACACCACACACACACACACACACACACACACACACCACACAACAACACACACACACACCACACCACCACACACACATCACACACACACACACACACACATCACACACACACACACACACACACACACACACACACACACACACACACCACAACCACACACACACACATCACACACATCACACACACACACACACACACACACACACACATTACACACATCACACACACACAACACATTCACACACACACACACCACACAACACACACACACACACACACACACACACACACACACACACACACACACACACACACACACACACCATTTCCATACTACACCTTATCATGATTTCATAATAGAGTAGCATCTATTCTATGGTTCTTAGGCAAGCTACGTCCATTTCAGAGCTTTTTCTGAGCTTCAGAGACAGCTGTGGTCTTACAGGATGAAGTCACTCTGCCAGACAGCCTTTGGGTTTAAGGGTAGTGCATTCACATATTCCAACATATTACTGGTATTTATACATATTGCCGACTTTCTAATCTCCTCAAACCGATAATCTGCAGCAATACGAGTGATGTTGATTTGATGATATTCAAAGATTTTGACCTTGTCATGCTTAGATTTTGAATACATCTTGTGTTCTGACATGTGTCAAGTAGGTGTTTAAATATATAGTTGGACATTTCTGGGAAATGTACTTATTTGTTTTTCTTGCCAAGTGTAACATGAGGAGATTAACACCAGTTTTACACTGTAAATGGTCATGACAGACAGGAGACGGTTATCTTAGATTATCACAAATACTCAAAGCGGGGAGAATACCATAGGAGCATTTCTTAAACTGTCAAACTATTCCTTTTACACTCCTCTACATTTCCTGGCATCAAATGTGTTGGTGGAACATATGATTTGTAAGTTAGTTATTAGAATATTGAAAAGCATAGCGTCAATTGTCTGGTTAAATGTGTAATCCAGTTTACTTCTTAATATATGAGAGGCTATTTTATTTGGAGCAAATTTATTTGTACAGCTTCTCGTTTGGACAGCATTTAACATTTGAGGACTTTGAAAAAAAAGGTTTACATTTGTCAAAGTAAAGTCAACTTTGGGTATCAATTTAGCGATCATTTTCAAACTAGCCCTATGCTGTGATACCTATTTTGTTACAGTGATCATCTAAATATCATCCATCCTTGATTATCCCATTCCCAGCTCGCAGGATGGAGCCATGAACTGTAAGCTCCTGATATAAGACTAGATCTCTTGTCAGCCAGAGTTCAATGGATGCAAGGAATCCCGTGGTCTATCTGCAGTTCACTCAGCCATGGACACAGGAGATAAACAGCACAAATCAAATATGACTCCTGAAGGAGCCATTGTGAAACTAACGCTCCCCCACCACTCTTTCCATCCCTCCCTCCTTTCCCATTTACTTTTCTTTCTCTTTATCGCCTAGTCTCTCGTTATCAATCCTGTTGCATTCTCTAAGCTCTATTTCTTTCTAAACCAGTCTCCAGCCTCCAAGGGTTCAGCCCCTTCTGTTGGCTCCATCCTTGACTCTCCCTTCCCCACTCTATCCCACTGCTCCTGATATAAGCCGTTCTGCCACAGTGGGAAATGAGATTACTGGGATCCATATAGCATCAGACCACAAGTTCCATTACATAATGCAGACAGAAGGAAAAGTGATTGTGGGTGCATGTGCATTTCTGTGTGTGATTATGTGTATGTTGGATTAAGGTCATTAGAGTTTTAGCCATCCAGATTTGTAGTAAATGTTGGGAGGATAGCCATGTTGTGTCAGTTAATACCGATTAACACCGAAGACCCACATACATACACACACACACCACAAACAGTGGTAAGCAACATTGACATTTAGATGACATCAGTTTGAGTGTGCGTGCGT